AGGCTCCCCCGCGCCGCTGCTCGCATCGCCCGCGCCGCCTCCGCGCCCTTGGGCTGCTGCGCGGGGTTCGCCGTGCGTGTGTATAGCGGAGCGGGGGGCTGCGCTGGGAAGCCACCCTCTTACGGCAGGGCAGGCAGCGAGGAGAAACTTCAGGCCAGCAGTCCGTCTGGACCCTAAAGTGAGAAGATAACCGTGCGTGGCGAGGAGAGGAGTGACGAGAAGAGTTATTTTATTGCCTTTGTACAGCAGGAACTGAGACAGAAGAGGTTATCCCAAACCAGGATTCAAAGGTGTGAGACAGTCCTGAAAACGCGTGTGGAGAAGCAGCTTGCTTTTGATGGAATTTCCCATCTTGATCTCAAATTGCTTGCCCAGAATTGCACAGGACCTGTTTCAAATTGCCTTGTATCGCTATTAAAAGACCTTGATCCTCCATTCCCCTCATTTCTCTGCTTTTTTCCCCTTCGTGTTAAGAATCTTCCTTCTTTTCCTCTCTTTCAAAAATACATAGTCTGAAAAAAACGTTTTACTGACAACCCACCGGGGAAACATACCTTTCTTTACTATAATTAGATAATTTCTTAACTTTTACTGTCATCTGGACAGTTGCTGAAATCTGCCTCTGTCATCCACTTCATTTAGACTGCAAACACATTGAGACAAACCATTTATTTTAAAGTATTCTTTACAATGCCAGAATTATGCTTAGTTATAGATGAGGATGTAGTCAATATTTCTCCCTCTTTTACTCTTCATATAGTCATTTCTAGATTGAGGAATTGTCTGTATACAGCACAAAATGTGGATTATCTGAGCTGTGTCATAGCAGATAAAGGCTTTACACTTTAAAAGGTCTGCAGCTGTTGTTTAAAATAAACAGACACACCAGAAAGGGAAATTTTGTCCTGTGAAAAATTATGTTGTTTGGCCTGGCTGAACTTGTGGCCTCCTAGCTGTTACAGGAGTTGCAAATAACAAAGGGACACAACTTACTCAGGGTTTGTGTTGTTTACAAGGCTCATGCCCTTTTGCTGAGCTTAGTCTGTTTTCTGATTCCGAGAGCACTCCTTTACTGTGTTCAGTCTTCGTCTGGCAAACAGTGGGAACTGAAATGGAGAACAAAATTCTGGACATATGTTGCTTCTGTTGACTTCAGGGGGCTTTGGCTACATCTCTCCTGCCAGAATATTTTCTCGTGTTCATCAGATGGGAAAGTCTACCTTGAGTGTTCAGAGGTTTTCTGGGAAAAATGGAAAGCTGAGCTCTTGACCAGCACCAGCCTGTGCAGATACCAAATTGTCACTAGTCTTCACACACTTTCCTCAGAGGGACTGACTTTGGCTTAAACACTCCCGAGCTCAAGGGTTTAGTTCTCCACTGTTTTTCTGGTCCATTAGGAGAGCTGCCACAGTCACTGTCTGAAACAGCTGAACAAGCGTTGCTGTACAGAGGGATCTGTACCTTTTCGTACCACCATGTAATTAAACACGGCATTGCTGAGTCTGCACAAGAAGTGTTGCTTATTCTCTTTTGTGTAGTTGTTGCTAATTTTCAGTTGGTTTATTTAAATTTGGCAGATGGAAGCTGAAGAGGAAGGGGCAAAAAAGCTAGCAGGAGTAAACTTGGAAAACTTGCCTCCCAACTACCATAATGTGTCCAACATGGAAACCAGAATTGGTAATAAAACGGTTCAGACTCATCAAGAAATTGATAAGGTATGAGAAAGCATATATAGCAAGCTGCTGGTTCTTACATAACCTTTTCTTCAAAAATAAAATCAATTTTGCATGTTTTAGAGAAAAATAAGTCATTTTGAGCATAAACTTTCCTGATGATAATTACTTTGGGGTTTTATTGTATTGTATTTCCTTGCCTAATCACTGTGTAGGGCATATGTCACAAAAGGTTAATGTGAAATAGTAAGTTATTTGGAAAAAATTGCCTGCTAAAAATAGAACACAGGTACAGCTATTAACATGGGTCATAAAAGAATGACCATCTCCTGCTCAGCTTCGTTACAGGGACATTTTAAATGGATGAGGAGGTAGCCTTGTCATCTACTTTTCCCACCCCGAGTAGGATTTTATACAGGTGACAGAAAATGGGAAAAAAAGGAGGGGCTAGGGGTGGGTTAAATATTGCAGAATGTAGGACTGAAAGTTACAAAAGACTAATAAAAAAATGCAGTTTGATATTTTGTTCTTCTTTTGCCGTGTCAGGTTACAGATAACAAAACTGGATCCACAGTTTTTTCTGAGACAGTTATTACATCTATAAAAGATGGAGAAAACAAAAGAAATCATGTAAGTGAACACATTTTTTCCTTTTGAAAATTAAACAAATACTTTGTGTTCATCATCAGAAGGCGGCGGTGTAGTTCACCTAGTGACATTTCTGAATGCATTAAAACACAAAACCATTAGAGGTAAGCAGTCAAAAATGGTTGGTTTTTTTTTTAATTAATTTAACTTAGGAATATTATATTATGAACTGGAAGCAGAGTTTCAATGTTGTGGTTAACTGAGGCGCTTGATCTGAATATGCCGTTTGTCTGTCAAATGTAGATACTGTACTCAAATAGCAAAGATAGTTACACAGCCCTTTCCAGTGAGTGTGAATAAACCCTTGGTATAACAGTGCTTCGTATGTGTCCTCTCAGTGCTTTTGGTTTCATAAAAGAATTGCTTTATAGACTTTCAACGCTAGAAAATAAACCCCAAATTGTCTATCGTGAGAAGTCTGTGGAACAATCTATGACTCTGTTTGCTTCTCAGCCTAACCTAGTCATGGACAACAGGTTGTGAAATGTCACTTTGGGGAGGGGGAGAGGGTTTGTATAAAGAAGAGGTTTGTATAATTGTAGCTGTAAGTATTGACAGTCATTTGAAAAGGGTGATGACTGACATTTTGTTCTGGGGATGGAGTATTTGGTAGCAGAGGCTGTAGGGAGCCAGCCATTGGGAACAGGACTTCTGTTCTGATGCTACTTCTGTAGCCTTCAGGTTGGTGCCTCTTTAGAACAGCGCTTTTGTTTTTATTTTCGGTCTGTCAAGTAAAAGAAATACGCACATGCTATCACCCAAGCTCAATTTTTATGCTTTTAGGGAAATGGAATGCTGAAAACTAAACCTGTTTCATAGGTTCAATTTATAGGCTTAGCTTATAAAAATTAAGGATTCCCACAGCTCCTTGCGCATTAGGTACAAAATTGGGTCATAAATACAGGAATTCATCAAACACCTCAGCAAGTCACCTGCTCTTTCAATGTAAACTCTATATAATTTATTACTGCAGTAATTAGTAGTAACTGGAACCCTACAGCCCTCAGTTCACATTTATTCTCTGAGACGAGTTAAAAGCCACTGAAAGTTTTTCCAGTGACAGTTTTAGGCTGTGAGACATGATGCGAAAGCCTCACAGGTAGGCAGAGATGTTTCTTGTGATGGGTCTGTGTTGCAGTAGTAAATCTATATACTGTCTGGAATGAAATTTGACACTGGAGAAGCAGCTTCATGGAAGATGGTTGTGTCTGCTTTTTAAAATCACAGCACGTGTGCCACCCCTATGTCCTCTTGCAAGCAGGTACAAATATGCCTGTATATAGTACATATAAATATGTACTATACACCTACATATAAATATGTAATATACACATACATTTAGTGCAGAACACTATTACAGAAACATAAGGCATAATCTTCTCCATAGACACATTTTTCGCTCTCACATCACAAAAGTATTCTCTTTAGACTGTGTTCTTTGTTACTGAAGACTTGACTGTATTTTGATGTCCGGAAGACTATCAGTATTTTAAGTCTCCAGAAGAGGAATTGGGCTGCTTGCCATTTCTGGCAATGCAATCCAGTTCTTCAGAGGTGCTGCATTATTTGAAGGCGCCATTTACATTCCCAGACAAACATTCACTTTTTCAGATGGCAGTGACGACAGACAGTCACCAGCATAGGTGTCAGGCTTTGATTCAACAGTCTTGTATCTTTAAAGAGGCAAAATATAGGCAAGAGGTAGCTGGATGTCCATGTTTTTATGTCTGTGCAGGGTTTTACATCCCCTTGCTACTGGGTTTAAGGCTAAATACTCTATACTTTACTTCTCTGGGGAGCATTAGTTAGCTTGCAAATTAATAGAGTAATTCCAGTAGTAAGCTCAAGCACAGAACACAGGTAAAGTAACAGTACTCTCTATTACCATATGAAAATCAAAATGTTTTCCAGCTTGTTGACTGGTCCTGTATCAGTTGTGATGCATTAGCCTAAACAATGAAAAGCAAGCATGGAAAATGAAACAAAATTGGTACTGGTAAGATTTGCTGCACAAAGATCAGTTGCATTTCCCAGTTGTGTTCAGAGTGGTATTTTGTACAAGCTTTCTCTTATAATTCAAAGCCAGTGTGCCTAAGATCTTTTTTTTCCTTGTCTGTATTAATTTGATAAATAAAAATAGAAAGAGCTTCTCTTTAGCAAGGGTTTGTTTGTTTTCCAAACTTTAGTAGAACTGCATCTGGTTGCTTTTAATTCTCAAAAGAGATTTTTTTAAAGATGTTAGCATCCTATGATGCTAAAAGATGTCATCCCCAGTATCTAGGGAGGGTGTACCAGGGAACTGGAAGAGTCTCATGCATTTCTCATTTGGCTTTGGCACTATAAAAAACACTCCTTTCTTTTGCCTGTCCGCGATGAGGGAGGCTTTTGAGGGCATGACTGCACCTTCTCATTAGTTACACGGTAGAGGTCAAAGTTTCTTTGTGGAAGAGTCAGGAGAGGTGCCTTCGGTGTGATTCTGTGCAAGGTGCTTGCTCTTCCTCTGCAAAGGTGGGTGTGTGCTTGTATGCACACAAGTAATTGGCACCCCCCTTCTGCAAATACAGCAGCTGGTTAGTAGGTAGTTTCAAACATGCTCATGTCCTTAAGAGAGAGGCCCTGTGATACCAGGCCTTTATTTCCGTGGCTAGAGGCTGCAGCACTGGGCAGGAAGAGCCGTATCGCTGTGGAACTGCTTTTAGAAGCTGACTTGGCAGGTTCTGGAAGTGACTGTCAGTCAGGTCGCTGGTTTATCTGTAGAGATGGAATGGATAGCTTTCCTGTTATAATGGCCTTATTTAAAGCATTTTTTAGCCTTTATCTTTAGTATGACAGTAAAATAGTAAAAAGAAAGAAAATAGTAGAAGAATTAAATGTTAATCTCTGGGGTTCTATTTCCCCCTTTTTTAGAGGAAAAGCTGTTTCAAATGGCTCAGCTGTAGTACTTTGTAACTGCTAAAGTAACTGCTTGATTTCTATTTGAGCAACTTTTATATGATTTCACTAAGTGTGTTCTCAGCCACATATACTGGAGTTGGTTTCTTTGAGATTCATACTGCTCCAGGAGGAGGAGTTCCTACCAGTGCTGAAGAGAAAAGGAGCTTTGAAAATTGAGAAGGAAGCATTAATGGAATGGAAATTGCAGTTTTTCAATCAGCAGCACTGCAGGAGAGCAGATGATGGCAGAAATTTGAACATACAGCAGCGTGGTGTTAACTTCTGCTCCCTTTGGCATGCTAGTGTCTCAGGGAAGACAGTTGTTTTGAGCATCCCAGTCCTACATTTGAGTCTAATTTTTTTTGTTTCATTTTTCACAGAACTTTTAGTCCCTAGTGACTTGGACTCAACAATAACTTAAAATATCAATAGACACACTAAGTGCATTTCTGGGTTGAAATCCTGGTCTCTGTCTAGCCATAAATCCCACAATATTGAAATCTGCTAGTTTTTGTATAGTTAATAATTTAATTCGTTGGCACTCTTAGTTTGCCTTTCTGTTAACTGTCCAGCCTGCTCTGTGTAACTTGTTACATCAATGATGTCTTGACTAGCACAGTTCTTTTCAAAACACCCCACCCTTTAGGTAGTTCTTAGTGTAGGAGTAGGTAAGGCAAACTCTACTTCCTAGCTAATGCTCCAGGAGAGAATTAAGAGATCTGAATGAACTGTATCACTGTTGTATACTAAACAGTAACTTGAATAGATTAGTACAGTTACAGGCTAAAGCTTTCTGAAAAACATGCATGAATAGCTTACAATGGCAATCAGTTAAAAAAGTGAACCATAGTTTCATGAGCCTTTTATAAGCAGAATACCTGCATGCTTTGCACTCTCTTTTGCCCCATTCAGTTAATACTTTTTAAGTAGTACGTCTCAAGTATTTGCAAGTCACAGCTTACATTTTAAAATAAAACACCTCTTGTAGGCTAGGTTCCCCACCCAGTCCCAATCCACTGAAATTCCTGCAGGAGAACTAATAGGCATTTCTTTTATCATCATACTGTGCCTGAAAAACTACTACTTTTGACTAGCAAATCTACGCTTAGTTCTTTCAGTCTCTTGCACAACCTCTCTAAGGCACTGTGATGTGTGCTTTGCCCTTCTGATGTTTTAAGTTTGCTAATCTGCCTGAAGCTAGCAATCTGCTAGTCTACACTTACTCCACTGCAAACGGAAGCTTGGTGTTGAGCTTTTTGAGCCCAGTTAGTGAAAGAGCATTCTGATGGTGATCCTGAGGCCTGAACACCTGTGTTTTGTTTTGAAACAAGCAAATCCATCTGCTGGCTTGTTTTAGAGAGCCAGGGCTCTTCAGCCAGGCAGGGTTCAGACATTCTGAACATTTTACTGAAACCCCCTTTTTTTTTTTCCCTTTTCAGTTTCAGTCTTGACGATGTGGAATATGAAGCTGAGGGGAAGGTACAAATATCTGATGAGGACAGGTGGCTTGTGTTTGTCAGAGTAGAAAACAATGTGGAGAAGAGTGCAAAGGG